TAAGATTTTAGCTAAAACTTTTTTTCTACTAATCTAAACAGTGGCTTTGTTTATTTAACATAAAAATATATTTTTACATGCTGTAAAATTTTTGATGGTTAGAAGTGTTAAATTCGGTTTGTTTTTAAAAATATATCATTTGGTTTTTAATTAATACATTAGTAAAAGATTAAAGTGGTGTAATTGTGAATAGAAGTCGAATTTGATATCCTGTTAAAAAAATTTGATCGTGAAGTGTTAAATTCAGTTTGTTTTTCGCAGTATATCACTTAGGCCATTTGCAAAATATGGGCTTACAATTAAAATTTGGGCTTTTATTAAAGAACCGAGTATTTTTCTTTACTAGACAAACTAGTAGACAAGTCGTTTTGTTTGACTTATTGACTTTTTTCCTTTTTATAAATTTCCGGTGACGTCTTTGATCACTCTACCGCCGACGAGACCGGAACGCCGGTCGTTTACCGGTTAATATTCTAGACCGGAACGCCTTGATTGATTTGGGAATGGAGAAAATGGGTTTAATTTTACATGTATTGGCATTGAAAATTGATCGGATTTTCCAAGTAATGTCTTCTTGGTTTGTGTTTCTTCTTGTGCAGATACTGTTTTTGTGGTGTTTCACTGTGTCGATCGATTGAAATAACTTATCGTCGGCCATGTCGTGGTCGAAGGCTTGTAGAGGGAGTCGAGTTTCTTCATATCTAGAGAACCTGCATCGAACATCGCATTCTACGAGGTAAGCCATTTTACCATGATATATGCACACTAAGTGTTTGTTAAAATGCCTGCAAGAAAGTTCTATTCTTTTCCCAGTTAGTTTTGATGTCGATGTTGATGCGATTTCTTAATGTCGATGTAGGACTGTTCCTCACGTTTTATGCTCTCGTTATTACACTCATGGAGCTTTTAAAGGCAATGAGCATAATCTCCGAAGAAAGACAGTGTTTTGGGGAAACACTTCTTTGTTTTGCCCGTCTAATTCCCACTCTGCTACTGCTACGTCGATGTTGCTCGGTGCCCATCGCCAGTATTCTACTCACTCTATAACAGAAACCAAATCAAAGAAAATGCTCTATTACCTCACTGCTGTTGTCTTTGGCATGGTGGGGCTGACTTACGCAGCTGTGCCATTGTATAGAACATTCTGCCAAGCTACTGGATATGGAGGTACTATTCAACGCAAAGAGGTACATTGTT